TATAAGCCGATAAATCTACTTAATACAATTTTTGGCAAGAAAAACCAATAAGAGAACATGTTCCAGTTATTGCTGGCCAGCTGAGAAAGAGAAATAGAGTGAGAGAGAAACCGCTGCATCAGCTGTGAGAGAAGAATTGTGTAAAAGAGAGTCAGTGGGGGTGAGGGTGCGAAAACAGTGACTGAGTGAGTGAGTATGTTAAGGGTAACTCAAAGTAACTTAAGAGATCACTAGCACTGAGTGATTTTTTTTGAGAGAACCTAAGAGCATTTGTTACATTAAATTGCTCTTGAGTGGTTTTTAAAAATTAAAAAGAGAAGCAGAAAGATTATCTTATTTTCCACCCAAATGTGAATTAAATGAAAAACAGAGATTTTCATGAAAAAGTTATTACAAAATAGAGATTATTTAAATCACACCTGAAAACCGCTGAAAAGCAAAGAAGATAACCTTCTTTTGCATATAAATACATAAATAATAAAAAGGCTGCTCGACTAATTTGCATTTGCATAGTTACTTTTTAAGGCTAAAAAAGAGGGAAAACTTTTGTCCTGTTTTCCGAGTTTTTCTCCCAGTTCGTTTGCATAAATCAATTATGCATCTGTGGGACACTTTTGTCCGCAAACATCTCAATTCAATTGAAATCTAATTTGTGCTCTAATTTTAGCCATTTTCCCCGAAGACAAAGTGCCAAATCATTTTCCTTTTGCCCCGCAGAAAATTGCCTCGTTCCCTCTCGCTCGCACCCGCACGTTCATTTGGTCACGTCGCCAGTGCAAAGGAAACGTTGGCCGCTAGGTGGCGCCACACACGCCGTTTTGTATAGGGTTTTCGTTTTTTGTTGAGCTGAAAAAGATATTTCAGTGCGAAATATACTTTTATTTTAAAATGTATAAAGACAAAGAAACAATATCAAATTAAAGGATATATGACCAATATTTTATTCATAAAAAAAGTATTTAAACAGGCATATTCGAAATTTAATTTATAATAAAGTTAAAAATTTTTATAAGAATAAAGGAACATTATTTAAAATGATAGTGTTTATCATAGTGCCTGAAAATATGTATAAACTTATTAATAGTTTGTATATTTTTGAAATTCAGCTTGGAAAAATCTTTTTCTTAATAAAAATTTACTTTCCTTATAAAAATTTTAAAATTATGCAAGCCAATCTCTTTTTATCTGGCTTTTCAATCGGCAATTCAAATTTCGAACAGTGCATATCCGTCCACGTCAGCGATAATTATCTGCAAAAAGCGAATGATTTTCGCTTTTCAATTGCACATCGTCGTTATCGGCGTGGATCGATCAAATACCTTTATCAAATTAGCTTATCGCGATTTGTTTTCCATTTCCATTTGACTGCCATAAATTACTTGCCAAATTCCTTGTGATTAACTTTGGCTGGCAGCCCGAAAATACATTTGTATATATTTGTCCGCAACTGAAGACATCCCCGGCACAATGAACTTCCCGAATTTGTGCTCGTCATAACTTTTTCGTTTTTTGTGGCTATTTTTTTAAAGCGTTCCGCGAAAGTCGATATCCCTGCAATAGATAAATGGATAATTTGCTCAGCATTTCTGGTTTTCCCCTTATATTTTTCACCTGCTTGTTTCTGGAAAAAAAAAAAATTGCCAGGGCCCCCGCCTTCTTTTGCCACACCTCGCCGAAAAAACGAAACGAAAAGAAAACTCAACTTGTTCTTGATAATTTTCTTCGGGTTCTGCACACGTTCTCCGATTTTCCCCGCACTCGCTTTTCTTATTTTTTTAATGAAAATTTATGCATATGTGTGTGCGAGTGTGCCGGTGTGAAAATGTGTTGTGTTTAGTAAAACTAATTTAAATTTACAAATTGCCTTCGAGGGGGCCACAAGAGCGAAAGCCAAAGCCAAAGCGTAAACTTTGTGAAAATTGCTTTCCCGGAAAAGCGGAGAACACCGAGGGAAAGTTCTCTATATGCGCCGGCTGCCATGTATCGCAAAGTCACAAAGGAAACAGTCGGGAAAGTGGATTTCAATCTAAAAGATGATTGATTTACCTTGCGAAAATTTTCAAATTTAAATTTTGTACATTAAAGTCAGCAAACTGTTTATGCAAAATTGTAATTGAGTAATCGAAATAAGATTAACAATTCAATTTGAATTGGATATTTTTAAATTGGAAATATAACTTGGTTTTAAAAGTGTTACAGTCATAATTTTGATTATGTCTTTCAAATTTGATAATATCTTATTGATTTGAATAATCTGAATTTAGGCAATTAAGATTATTTTATGAATATAATAAATGAATTTGTAAAAATATATAGGCATATTAAACATACATATATATAGCTTTTGTCTGACCTTTAAATTTTAAAAATAATTCCACATGTGGATTTTTATACTTTTGGCATTAAAATGCAAATAAAAAATTAAGAAATAAGTAATTCTGTATTGAAATACATTTTGAGACTTTATAAGTTAGTGCAGATACCTTTAGTAAAAATATATATATCAATATTGTGCGGAAATTGGGAAATGCGGCCACAGTTTAATCATATCTCTTGCAATATATTAACAGAAAATATACTTCAAAGCCGCGAAGTGTCGTCAGCTTTCTATTAGCAAAAATAGGCAAACACATGCCCTATAAGCCAATTTATACCCGTATATCTGTATCTGTGCGGGCAATAAATTTCGCTGATCATTAACCCCTGACAGACGTCTGTTGGCCAACCTGAATCACGGTTCTTTGTTGTTTATTTTTGAGAGGCCCGATTCGGCTGTTTCGATGCCTGCTTTTAATCAAGCCGGGCCACGCCTCATTTGAGTTTCTGGGGGCGGCTGGGGTCACATTTCAAAGATTGCGAAATTTCAAAGAGTGCTCAGGTTATCAATGAAATCAGTTGAAATCAGTTTGCAATGTGCCAAAGTCAGGGGCCAAACTTGTGAATGAAATCAAACAAAAGAAGTTCTCATTTCAATTCATTTATTATCTGACAAAACACATCTACATAAAGCTAATGTGGCACGAAGGATATCCCAAAGATACAGGCGCACACTTACAGATACAGATACGGAAACACATGCGTGCTTCATGGAATTTCATTTCAATCTGAAAGAAATTTGATTTTATTTATTTCAGCCAGCATCACAGCAAGACAAGTTGGATTTGGGGGGCATTCATGAGATACATTTCAATCTTTCGTTTTCAATCTACGTGCAGCATTTTCAGCTTTGGTCAGCAAACAACAATGGCAGAAAAAAAAAGTATATATGAAGATGGCAGGAAAATGCATTCAATTGAAAGGAAAGGACACACAGCCAGGGATCATGATATGAATATGAAATTATCCCACATCCCCATCGCCACACAATTTTCATTTGCTGATGAAATTCTCGTGTTTGGGTCCATGAATTCATAAGAACAGGTCATCACATAATCGTGTGTGCGGGTATCATATCAAAGAGCGAGCATAAAATTGAAATTATGATGAAATTCGTCATTGAATCGGAAGAAAATATTTATAGACTTAAAACATTACTTGTGGGAAAACTCAAGTTATTGGAATATGATTTTATGTTGGCAAAATTTTCATATATTTTATGACAAAACATAGAACTGAATTTATAATTTTCTGTATAGTTTTTTACTGCAATGGTTTTTTAAGGAAATTTACAAAATTTTATGAAATGATTCACATTGACACAAAGATTAGATAAGCGATTTGGTAAAATGAATAAGGAAATGAAAAATACATTCAAGAAATCGATTTGCGAAATTGCACATTTATATGTTGGTCAATATATAGATAACGTTTTACTAGCAGAATGCCGAAAATATGGTAGATACACAAATGTCAGTCATTATTCTTAAGCTAATTCAAATTTTCTACCTTTGCTGTGAAAAGATTTCTCCAATTTAAAAAATACAAGTGTACATTTTATTTCAGAGGTTTTTTTTTTGTGAAAAAACATTTTTTTTTTAAACGTGATCGTCACCAGATTAGAAAATAAAGATGTTATAGTTCAAGGAGCTATGGTACAAAAATAGAACATGGAACTATAAAATGAATTTATGACGGACTATAAAAATGGGCTCAGCCTATTTTAATGAATGTTATTAAAATGCAAATGGGCTTGTTTTTTTAACAGATATGAAAATACAACTTTATATTTTTATTGATCACAATTCTTTGCAGAGTCATTCTATAACAATTTTTTTTTATGAAAATTAACTTCATACAAGAATACTTTTATGGAACTTTACCCCTTTCAAAGAAATGGAATAGTGGTTCAATTTTATAAACATTGTATTTTGGGAGTTTATCAATTGCAATAAAAACGGTTAGAAATTTGTTTCTTTAGTTTTTCAATGTTAACGAATTTTCACAAAAACTTTGACTTTATTATTTTAATAGGCATTTGTTGGGTTTTTCTCTCGAGAATTACTTTTCTTTGGCCGAAATGGAGAGCGCAGTAAAATTTGCATTGGCCTGTTTCCGTGGAAAAGGCGAGGAAATTCTGAAGATACATTCGTATCTAGTATCTCGGATCTCGAATTCGTATCTTTTTTGCGGCCTGGCAACAGCCGCATTGGCAGCATGTTGCAACTTGCAACTGAGTTTTCAATTTCGGAGTGGAAAATTTCAGCCTGCCTTCTGCCGGCATCGCGGCCGGCGTCGCAGTCGACTGCGCAGTAATGCCGGGGTGGGTTTTTGTTGCTTTTTTTCCATACATACGTTTCCTTGCGGGAGAACATTTCCATCTTTATCCTTTTCTCCTTTTCGAGTTTTCTTTTCCTCTTTGCAAGTCACGTACGCCGTTCGCGCTCTCCCTCTCGCTCTCTCTTTCGCCGGCCGGGTTGTGGGTGCGCATGAGCGAGATAGACGCTGAGAGAAACAGCTGTTGGGAGAGCAGGCGATAGAGAGCGCTCTCGGGCAGCGACGTCGACGTCGACTGCGGACCGCCGAGCGGTATATAAAGCGGCGCACCGGCAGAGAAATTCATAGTAGCTTCGAAAAAACACTGAAAAGAAAACACAGATACAGACCTTGCCACGGGCCAGCAAATCAAATGAAGCAGCAGCAGAAACGTGCATAGCCACTGCTAAAGTAATACATCCAAAATTCAATCATTTATACTGTTTCACGAAGAATTCTATGCTACTGACGTTATATTACTACTAAAATTAAAATTGCCATCAAACAAATGCAACGGACCAACGCCATTTAAGTGATACAACAAAACAAATAAAAGTTTAAACAACATAAGTGCTGTGATTTCCACTACAAAACAACAACAACCAACCAACAAATGTTAATTTAAACTGCAACAAGAAGGAGAAAAAGCAATCAGCAAGAAAACAAACAGCAAATTGTGATAAATTAAATAATCTTAATTAATTAATTGTACAAGTGATAAAAAGGGCAAAAAGCCGTCGGAAAACTACGAGCGAACGAACGAACGACTTTCGATTCGATTCGACTTTCCACCAAACCACACAGAAAAACCAATGAAAATGGATGTTATCCCCGTGCAAAGCATCTACGGCGGTATTCTGGGATCAAACAAAATTAGAGGTAAGTTGAGGAAAATTCAGAAAAAAAGTGTCTATAAAGAAAGTTCGGGAAGGTTCCAGAAAGTTTTAAAATCTTAAGCAACTTAAATTTATATTTTTTTTAAGTTTTTAAAAATTTATACAAGTTTTAGATTTTTATAAAAAAAAACCTCTTCATTTGAACACATTTAAAAAATCCGGTACCTTTAAATAGCTTGAACTTATAAAGCAAACAATTGCCTTGCAATCCTCCTTGAAAATTTCATCAGCTATTAAAGTTTGTAATTTACATTTACACAAAAAATGCATAAAAAATCAATTTGCAATTACAAAAGAAAAATGTCATAAAAAAATACATGTTAAATTGTTCGTCACGTACGCAAATTGCAACAACAAAGGAAAAACGACAAAAAAAAAAACTGAACTCCCAGCAGCAGTAAAAAATGATTTTTCGTTTTCTTTGGGCTCTTGCCCTCTGTCTTTTGCTTTTCGCTTGCGTGTTCCGCTTTCATCTTGAGTTCGCTGTTGCCAAGCGGCTGTTGCTCATCGCCTAGTTGTTTGTTTTTGCCTTCCCTTCCGTTTCGCTTTTTGTGGTGTATCAATATAATTTAAAAGGTGTTTATTGTCGGGTACTTTTTGAAAATTGGAAATAAACATTTTAATTCAAACAGTAAAATCTGATTAAACTCTGGTTTTCAACATTCTCAACTGGTATTTTTTGTTAATTCAAAATTTTCTGAAACTAAAATTTATTAGATATTTTTGAAGGACTATTTTTAAGGAAATTTAAAACATTACCAGTTAACTAATCAAAGTTTTCCCTATTCTTTGCCATTTTAGATTGGACCATGGTTGCCGTCGAAGCGACTCTGAACGATATGTCCAGAAAGGGCAAGACCCTCGGAACAGGCAGCAGCAGCGCCACCGGCACCGCCACCGCCACCAGTATTAAGCACAAGCAGCCGGCGGGCAACAACAACAACGTTGGCCAGAGCCAGAGCAAGAAGACGAAGCCCAGCGGCAGCTACAACAGCAACTACTATTACGCGGACGAGGAGGAGGGCAGTCACGTTTCGCTTGATCTCGACATAAAGGCAGTGGAGGAGCTGTCCCTGCGACTCCTCGACGAACTGAGGGCGGCCAAGTCGCGGCATTTGACCTGCACGGAAGTGTCGCTACCCTGTGATCTCACGCCGAGCGTGGCCCGGGAAATTATCCGAGTGTCGGAGAAGGAGCCCTGCGGCATCCGCGGCTGCACCATCTACATTGAGTTCGAGGATGAGCCGAAGAACTCGCGTCGCATCGCCTCGATCAAAGTGGACCCGGACACGGTGTCGACTTTCGAAGTATATCTGACCCTCAGGCAGGATCATCGCGGCTGGACGTCCCTGTTGCCGCAGTTCATGAAGAGTTTGGCCCGCACGATCACCATCAGTCCGGAGTACACGATCACCAAGAACAAGTTGTATTCCGCCGATGGTTTGGGCGCACGCCGGAGCTATAGTTTCGGCAGCCACGCCCACAGCCCCAGTGCGGCCATCGCCACGCCCACAAATTAAGGTGATCTGCAAGATCTGTCAGATATATATGCGTATATGTCTGCAAAAAAATATAAAATAAAAAACACCACCCCTGTGATGATCGAGAGCAGTAGTTTGTTGCAGTTGAAGAGCAACAACGAAGCAAGTATTCGAAGCCACCCCACCTACACCACACACACATACACACACACACCTAATACACACACACACACACACACAATACACACCACACATTAGGGTACGCCAACCACACTCTCATACTAATACTATATATGGGACCGTAAGGCCCGATTTTTGTAATTGTGACTCTCACCACCATTTTACTTAGATGCGTAGTGCTATAACAAATAACTAGAGTTTTAAGTTGTTTCTCCTTTTTCAAAAACGCAAAAGCAAGAAAAACAAAAGGCGAGAAGAGCGGAAGAAAAGTAAAGAAAAACCAACATGAAATTCAAAGACGGCAGCCCCACGATACCCAGAATCATATTTCTGGGGCCTTCGCTTTGGGGCTCGCCGGTCGACAACTCATGAATATGTGATACTGTTTAAGATGCTAAGAGTTTTTTGCCGGGTAGCCCAAAATCCGGCAAAAGACGTTGATAAAATTACACATTTAACACACACAAAAAAAACACACACGCCACACACCCCCCCATACACAACAAAAAGAACAGATTTTTTTAAAAATTGTATGCTATATAGTAATAAACAAACAAACAAACCAACAAAACAAACAAACTTGATCTTGGTAAATTTAAAATTTAACTTTAAAACTGAGAAGAGGCCTCGAAATGTGACAGAGGTAGGATGAACACACGCTCCAATTTTAGTTAGACGCAGCTTGCTGCAATAAAATTTTTTAAATTATTAATTAATATTAATTAAAACCAACAAATTTTAGGATTTTAACAAATTTTTATATATTATTAAATGTATAGCGCGTACTACACAAAAAAGAAAAAAAAACAAAACAAGAAAAAATACAAATACAAAGAAAATCCACAACAAAAAAATAAAAATGAGAATAAATTAAACATAAAAAATCAAGCGTAAAATTTAAGGCAATGAATATCTCAGTAAATGTGAAAGCGTAAAAAATTTGTAAAATTTTTTTGTCTGTGTAAAACTCCCAATGCGATATAAAAACAAAAACTTAAATGTAGCAGTGAAAACAAAATCAAGAAATCGTCAAATAAAATGTGAAAATTTAATTAAATGCAATGCGATATAATTTGTAAAAATTACAATTAACGTAATGAGGAAAACTTAATGTTCTCACAAATACACAAACACATAAAAACACCATCCACACACACATACAAACACACACGAAAGTATCTATTACCAGCAAAAAGTATCTATCAAAGCGAAAAAACTATTTATTACAAAAAGAGAGAGAAAGAAAGAAATAAACAAGCAAAATACGAAAAAAATACATGTATTAATTTTTTATTATTACAAAAAAGCAAAAACAAAAATATATTGTATTTAATGTTAAGTTTTTTTATTGCGTAAAACAACAAAATAATTGTGAGAAATTTGTAACCAAAACAAAACAAAAAAACAAAAGCAAAAACATTTTGTGAAAAAAAACCTTACCACACATACAGAGCGAAAAACAAAGGCAAAAAAAATTACAAAAATAAAAGCATATAATTTTTCCTGCGCTAGCGGAAAATAATTGTGGAAAAAATTAAAACAAAACGGCTTTCTTTTCTGCCAGCACTGTTGGGTCCAAGGGGCGGGTAAAGGGGGCGGGGCAGGGGCGGTTCAGCTTGTTGCGGGTGCAACTTTCTTTCAGCAGCCACCGAACCACTGAAAATCGGCAACACAGTTGCCCGCACAACTTGTTACTGCCACGGCCATGGCAACTGCACTGCGAGAAACCGGACTTTAATTGCCACCATTATACAATTGAAACTTGAATTCAGCTGAAATACACAAAGAAAAAATGGGATAGATGTCAAATAATTTAGAGCACCTTTCTTTGAAAACAAAATCACGTGATCAAAAACCATAAATTCCTTTTTGTTTATGTTCTACTTATAAAACAAAAATATTCAAAAATATACAATTTTGTTTATATATGATTCAAACTGGAATACAAATATTTGGCCTATCATATACAAATGTTTTGCCATATCCTAAACTTTTACATATCTGTAGAATTCGAATGAGTAATAACTTTCATAGGACGAAATATATTTATTTTTAGACTATTTAACCCATTTAAATTTTTGTTTACTAAAATATAAACTGCGTCTTTTTTATTAAAGAATTCACTAATTATAGTATTTAAGAACGCAACTTAAAACAATAAAATCCTGATGTTTTATTTAATCTTGAATAAATTTGTGACTAATGCAATAAATTTATTTTTATATTTAGGAAATAAAAAATATGGAAATAAATTATCAAAAAAGAATTGAATTTTTTTTAGTTTTGGAATTTCGTATTGGATAACATTTTATGATATTTTTATAAAAAACTTTAAATAAATAAACACAATGATAGTAGTTTGTGAGCAAGACATTTTAAAAATACTTTGAAGCTCGCAATTTATAGTCTGTTTTTCTGTCTTGTTTTTTTTTTGTACTATTAGCTTTATAATTTAGAGGTCTGGCCTAGTTTTTTTGAGTGCACAGCTGCAGTAGTTACACAAACGGCAACAGCAACAATCGCTGCCTCGCGATCAGCAGGGGAAGACAATTGGGCAACCAGTTTGGGCTAGGCCCACAACTTGTTGTTGGGCCCGCGATGGGTACTATGAACTTGGCTGAAAAGCGGCAACGTTGCAATCGGCCAAAACAGGCTGAGGTTACCAACAAAAAGTGCACCAGTACGAAGAAATCGTACTGATTTAGGCTTGTCAATAATAGTTATAGTATAAAACTGATCTGTATAGAATACTTGAAAAGTCAGAAATTAAATGCGGTTTTCAGTGATCAAAGTTGTCTGTATATTCTATGTCAACTTAGGGAATTTGTTTTCATGTTTTTTTACTTTTTCGATTTACTTGCTCTTCTTAAACTTAAACTAAAAAGATAGTGGTTAAACTGATGGTTACAAATTTAATTAGTTACTTCAAATAATTCCCGTCTTAAGATGAACAGAAGTATTATGTTAATTTAAAAATATTGAAAACTTTATTTCATAGATTTTTTATTTAATATAACTAGTAACTTTCAGTGCTAGAATAAAGATAGAAAAAATAGAATTTTTTTTTGAGGAAATTTCGTAGTTTGCAGTTGTCAAGGCAAATGATTTTCCTTTAATTCGCTTGCGATCTGTAATTACGGCACGACGTGTGCCATATTTTGCCAGAACACCGAGTGTAGAAAGTCATTTAAAATTCTGTCATTCTTCTTGTTAAGGCGAACATCTAGTATCCCACCTCAAGTGATTACCAAAACGAAAAGGAAAGCGGTCCAGGGGGCAACCGCAAAGGCATTCGACTATTTTTTGGACCCGTTGCGATATTCGGTCATTTCCGAGAATAGAAACCCGAAAAGGGTGCAAGTGTACGCGCGCGAGCCGTTGACAAACAATATTTGAATATGTATATAAGTAGACCCCATAGACTACATATATAGTATATATAGTAGTACGTGTTGGTTGAGATGTACGCGGTGCGGTTGATGGGTGCGGTTGATGGGGCGAAACTACAATCAGTTCCAATTAGATGCGAAAATAGAATTCAATTGTCACGTCATAAAAGATTTAATTGAATCAATTTCACGTCACAATTCGTTCGCATATTTTTGGGGACATTTCGTTATATTTTGATGCCATTTTCGCATACTTTTATTATTATACGTATTTTGAACTTTTTGTGTGCGTCTTTGTTTTTGTTTTTTCCGCCGAGACTCAAGGCGATTTAATGATGCCGATGACGCGTCTGCCGCTGATAATTTCCTTGACTTTGTAATTTATTGGTGTTTTCAAAAATATTTTCAAGAGGTGGCTAGTAGAGCCTCGTTAAGATAGTTTTCGCATCCACGAAAACACGTTTTGATTATGGCCTACACGCGTTTCCCAGAATTCTCCGTTGGCCACATTTTCGCTGCGTGTTTTCCCATAGTTTAATTTCTCTACTGTTTGTTAGGTTTTTAAGTTCGTATCCAGAGCGAACATCTGCACGGTATTCCCCACAAAATTCCGAACTTTGAGTCTGGGCCTGGCCAATATTTGCCGTATTATTTAACTTCTTATTTGCTCCCGGCTTTGTTTCGAATTTCTCCTTTTTGCCACCCACTGTTTTTCCAACGCGTTCCATTCTAAACTGAATAAACAGATTGGTGTGTCACTTTTGTCAACAATTTTGCATGCATATTTCTCGAATGCGGAATTTCTGTTATTGAAGCACATAAATGTATCTATATTTGTAGACATTAAGAGAACAACAGTGGCAGCAAATAAAAAAAAATGAATAGAAAGACAAAAAAAGATGGCAAATATTTGGTCAAGTCCTCTGGTTTTTGTTTTAAAACCATCCCGCTCTTGAAACTACACACCCTCCCCAGTTGTTGGCCAATTAATTTTTTTAGTTTTTTTTTGGGGAATTTATGGCCATGGAAAGTCTCCAGCTTTATTGGATCTTCGGCACGTGTTGTCCCCATCGTCAAACTAAAAATCGGTTCGATTTAAGAGAGATTTGCGCAGCAAAAGTTTTGGGACTTGTCACATCAACCTCGGTCAAAATCGTAGGTGGACTCGTTTTGGACGTGTTCATTATTATTTTTTCAGCGGCACGTGGCCCAGCAAAATTTTCGATCGCTGCGAGGGGTATTAGAAAATTGAAAAAAGTTTTAGCTGTCACAAAGTAAAAAAAATTCAAAATTTTACGATTAATTTCTTGAAACTGTCGCTTTTGCCTTGGTCGTGGTGAAAATTGAAATATATTTCCAAGAACTGGCCTAATTCTGTACATTTTGAAAATATGTTTGAACTGAAAATTCTTAAGTAGCTTCGGACTTTTTAATTTGCTTTTTTGGCAAAGCTAATCTATTTTGTTTTTATGAACAAGTGCCAGAACAAACACGACCTTACATTTCATAATTATAATAATTCATAATTTTGCAATTAAAAAACTTCATATTCTTGTAGTGCAATAGCTAAGCTTTATTTTATGTTCCAACACAACAATTATTTTGTATATTTTATTAGCAAAACAACATTTAAACACATATAACACGCTTACCCATTTATTTTAACCTAGTTAAAAACTAGTTTTTTATAATATTTGAACCAAAAGAAGATAAGTTTGTTAAAAAGAAACTAAAGTCTTCTAAAAGCAGGTTGGCAAAACTCAAGAATATCTTATCGTACTTTTAAGATACATTAAAATAAACCAATATTCTTTATTAAATAGGTTCTAAATACTTATTTCAGCTATTTTAAAGCTAGTTGTAAATTTTTTCTTAGAGGGTTAAGCAATTTCTTTAATTCAATGGATGATGAAACATAACTTCATTATTCATACCTGATATTTCACTGATTATCACAACAATTTCTTACATTTGAAAAAACTGAACCTGAGAAAACCTGCAAGTCTTTGCCCACCTGACTTGACCCAATTTAGCCTGAAAAAAATCTAAAACCCGTAATCCGAGACAATGTTACTGGCAATCTTCTCCCATTACTAAACCCCGAATTACAGCCTGCTCCCATATTATAATGCCATCAATTCCATTGTAGTCGATTGTTAGCCGCTGCTGTTTTGTTTCCCCT